CCAGTCTCTCCTCAAGTGTTTCCGCATAACTCTGCAACCCCTTTAGCCAGGGATCTACTGTCTGTGGCTGCCACTCTGTACTCAGCCATCAGGTTTTAGCAGTACCAGGCCTAGGCAGAGCCTCCTGTGGGTGGAGCTATTGTCGCCTCACATGCTATTGCTACACAGGGGTTTGGTCTACCTGAGCAAGATGGCTGTTGCCATATGAGCAATGAATCAGCACCAATATTTTGCCAGCTACTGTCTCAGTTCTCTCCCCAAAGCCTCCTTCCCCAGTCTCTCCTCAGGAATCTGCAGCCCTTTCTGCCCCTGCCAGAGCCCAGACGGCAGTAGCTGCAAAAAAAAAAAAAAAAATGTATGCATTGGCCCTTTAAACAGCTCTTTGCGTCTCCAGCTGCCAGTCTCTGTCAGAGACCAACCTTACTGCTTTTCGCAGCTGGCTGTTATCTGTGTACTTTTTGGGCTCTGGTGCTGTAGGCTGGAGATCCCTGCTTATGGTTTAGACCCCGCTTTTCTCAGGGGTATCCAACTGGCCATTTCAATATTCTTCTGATGCTGCCACCCGTGAGCACTCCGCCTGCCTTCCCGAGTCTCTACCGCACTCCTTTACCAGTTAGATTGTGCTAAAGCTGATTCTTCTGTCTGTCAGAGGTTAAAAGCCTCCTCTCTTCTTATCGTGCAGGTGTTTGTTCCAGGTGATTTCTCCACAATTTAGTTGTAGTTTCAGATTGGTCCTGGGAGGAGGTCAGTGTGACTTCCACTCACTCCTCCGCCTACTTGATTCTCCAGAACACTTGAAAAAATAAATGTTTTTATACACAACGTCTCATTTGATAAAAATATTGGACTACATTTTTAGTGAAGAAGTTTATTGGTAGAATGTGAGAATTTTAATTAGCATATTATTTCTCATTTAAACAAATTAAATTTATATAGAAAACAGTCCACTTTTTTATCAGATAACTGATATCTTTAAGTTATTTTGTTTTAAAAAGTCTGGGATTATCACTGTTTTCTACATAGTCCTGCCTCTAGGCATCCTATTCCCCGTATCAGAAAGGCTTCCCTATCCATCCATCTAAATGCCATTAATTCATTGTTTACTTTTTTTAACGTTGATTTTTTTTTTTAGAGAGAGAAAAGAAGGGGGTGGGGAGAGAGAGAGAGAAATCATTGACCTGTAGTTCACACTATTTATGCAATCATTGGTTGATTCCTATATGTGCCCTGACCAGGGATCAAACTCACAATCTCGCATATCAGGACAACACACCAACTAAATGAGCCATCCTGCCAAGGCTAAATGCCATTAATCCTTCAAGGCTTGGTATCAAAAGTATGGCAGGAGAGCAACATACTAGTATGTATTAATAATTGAGCTATACTATTCTTCAGTTACAAATTTCACCTGTGAAATTCTGCTTCTTGGTAGTATGAAGAGAACTTCTAAATGTAGTCCTCACTGGGGAGGGATTGATTTGTAGCTCCATTTACCCAGTGTCCAATGGTCTTTGGAACATGGTAAATACACAATTAATATTTGATACTTGAATAAATGAATGTTTCTGAGTCTCTGTGTACTCAAAATTCAGCTTAATTATGCCTTGTGCCATTAGAGAATGAGCTTACATCAGAGGCTATATGCTGTGTTGGAGAGCCATGGCTATTCTATGACAAGGCATGTTAGCATATTCCCATGTCCTTTAAACATACAGCTTCCTAATTGCCTCCTGCATTACCCACAGTATGTGCATAAGGGCTTGCTTTATGCAGCTTCCTTTTATATATAACCATGGCAATGCTGTCTGCTTCATACTTGAAGTAGCTGTGAATGTTAACTGTGATGACTTCTTGATTTGTTTTGCATGTAGCGAGACTCTGTACCTTTTATTATTTTAATCATCAAAATAAGAAAGTTCTGTTTCTTCCATGAAGTAAAATACCTATTTACAGAACAAACTAGCATAAAAAATCTAGACCCGAAACTAATATCTGAAGGCACTGCTAATCTCTGAAATCAAAGGATAAAGGACTCAGAGATTATCCTCAAGCTTCTCTTTCATCTGAAATCTAGATAATGTTAATGAATGTGTATCACCATTTAGCACAGAGAGAATCATATATTGGAGGGTGCTGAAAGTACAGAGAATATGAATCTAGTGCATCTTGCACATTTTGTCTCTGCACAGGTTCCAGCTATGACATGTGGCCAAGTCCTCCATGCAAGGAGGCTTTTCTCGCTCCAGGGTTTGCATTTATTTTTCATGCTAATATTTGGAAGCTGCCAGAATCCCACCCACATACGACTAATCTAATCACATTTAGGCCAGCTCTCCATTTCTGTTAATTGGAAATACAAGACATGCTCAAATATCAAATAGAGCAAGCTGTTTTTAACACACACACACTTTTCCATATTCTGGCAGAAAATTTATAAAAGATTTTGAAATTAAATCCATATCCTACTTCAGAGCTATTAATAATTATGTCATTATATAAACAGCCTATGAGAAAATCACAGATATTTTAGATTTAAAATTACTCAAATTTCAATTGTATTTCAATTAGTTTTATTATTGACTTTTTTTGCATGTAAGTTTTTCACAAAAGCTTTCATTGTTTCCTTTAGGAAGAATGTGTAGGAGTTGGAAATAGCCTAAAACTTAATTCCAAATGATAGAGCTAGTATGTTATGTTAATTTTTTAGTTTTTATTTTATTTTTTTAAAGATTTTTAGAGAGAGGGGAAGGGAGGGAAAAAGAGAGGGAGAGAAATATCAGTGTGCAGTTGCCTCTTCCGCACCCCCCACTGGAGACCTGGCCTGCAACCCAGTCATGTGCCCTGACTGGAAATCGAACCTGCAACCCTTCAGTTCAAAGTCAGCACTCAATCCACTGAACCACATCAGCCAGGGCTATAGATTAACTTTTAAAATAGTGTGTTGGGGTGATATTGGTTAATAAAATTATGTAGGTTTTGGGCGGAAATACTACAACACATCATCTATATATTGTATTATGTGTTCTTCACCTTGAGTCAAGCCTCCTTCCATCACCATTTATCACGCTTATACCCTCCTCTACCTCCCCTGCCCCTTTCTCTTCTGGTAATCACCATACTGTGTTTATGTCTATTAGTTTTTCTCTTTTTTTTCTGAAGCCCTTCACCCTTTTCACCCAGGCTCCCAACCCCTTCCTCTCTGACAGTTATCAGTCTGTTCTCTGTATCTATGAGTCTGTTTCTGTTTTGTTTGTGAATTTATTTTGTTCGTTAGTAATAAAGAAGTCCAAGTTAAAGAAAGTTGAAACTTTATTCTAAGCTTACAACATCATCAAAGAAAGATAAAATAGAATTTGGTTCATTGCTATGTCAGTCTTAATTTTGACTTGGAATAGTTTATGTGTTGCAATCTCAGCATCATATAGAATTGAAGCTCTTCTAGGCAAAACTTGCCTTGTTTATGCTTGCTTTATATAATTTACCATCTTTAAAACATTGAGCACATTTCTGATTCTTTATATATATGACTATATAAATGATTCAAACTTATAAATTTGATTTCTTAATTTGGTTTATTTTTTAGTGAGAATGTCTCTAGGAATAGTAATATGGCATCTCAAATTTGGTTTCAAAAGTAAAGATTTTCATTAATGAAGCCATTCTAGTCACAGTTGGGTTAACAAAACAAATAAAAAGTGCAAAAAGTAACTTTGTCACTGCTTTTTAAAAATGGGTGATTTTTAAATTTTAAGATAGATTGTCAAAAAAATAAGAGGGGGAGGCATCAGTGAAAATGTTGGAGTAAGGAACTCTAAACTTGGGTTTCTTCATAAAAGCAATGAGAAAATTGACCAAAAAAACTGTCAAAAATCAGTTTGGAAACTAACCAAAGGCTTCTAGCAACATAGGGATGTGTTTAGTCGAGAAATATGGCTGTATCTATATAGGAACAGCAAGATTTGTGGCATTTTAACTTACCCTAATCTCATCTACTTTCTCCAGCTGCACAGCAGTTTTAAAAAATAACAGCCTGCATTCTCAGTACTGAAGAAAGCAGAGTCTGGCTGGAGATCTTTCAAAATTTCACTCCCAAATAAGAGTTATTACCAAGTGGTTTCTTGGAAGACATCACTTGAAAAGCTTGTCTTTTTAAGCTCACTCAAGTTCTCTCAGTGCTAACCATTTCTCCTGCTGTCTCAGTGACAACCATTTCTCTGTGGGTGACATAGGTAAATTTCTTAAATGTTTAGCACCATATGTGCATGAAGCAATGAGTAGCAGTTGATGCAAACAATAGACTAGCCAGAAAACTTAAAATGAAAAGCTGAGGATTGAGATGGACACTGAGGCTTTGAAAAGCTCCATTGTATTTTTGAGAACCTAAAAGGTCACAATCATGCATAGGACTTTAAAAACATTCATGAAAGACCCAAGAAGGCTATATTCTCTCGCCTGGGACTAAACTTGAGAGTCAGCAGGAATGGAAGGCTAAGGCAGAGTTGAAAAACTCCCTGGTGAAGTGCTAAAGGCATGCCTCAACACACACAGACAAACACACACAAGCAGCACCTAGGCAAAGACTGGGAGACTTAGTGATTCCAGGCATCTAAAGAAAATGCTGTCTAATTATTAGCTGACCAATAAGATAACTTAATTGAGATTCAGTGGCTCCACACAATAAATACACAGATTTTATAAAATGAATTCAGAAAAGTCACTAGACAAACAACTAGTAAAAGCAGCAGCAGCAACAAACTTGGGTGGGAGATTTGATTTCCACAATTGCCACATTATACTATTTAAAATGTCCAGGTTTTGAAAAAATTGGAAGACATGCAAAGAAGCAAGAAAGAGTACGACTGATACATGGCAAAATAAGCAATCAATAAAATCTGTCACTGGGAAAATCAAGACATTGGACTTACTGGACAGATTTTAAAGCAGCTATTTTAAATATGTTTAAAAAGCTAAAGGAAAGCATGCCTAAAGAGCTAAAGGGAGTGCTTCTATCAGCAGCACATATACTAAACTTGGAATGATATAGCAAATAGCATGGTACCTGGGCAAGAATGACACACAAATTCTTGAAGCGTTCCATATTTTTTCAATTTAATCATATATTACATTGTTAGATATATACATTTGTTTCTAGAATGCTTATTTCATTGATCTACTTGATTATCTCTGTGCAAGTGTCAAGTTGTTTTAATTGCTGAGACTTTATAATGGATTTAATTTTTTAAATATTTTATACTAGATCTTGAAGAATCAAGATGGCAGAGGAGTGAGTGGAAGTCACACTGACCTCCTCCCAGGACCAAACTGGAATTATACTAAATTGTGGAGAAATCACCTGGAACAAACAACTAAACAAGAGTGAAAGAGGAGCCTTGTAACCTAAGAGACAGAAGAATCGGCTTTAGCGCAATCTAACTGGTAAGGAGTGCGGTACAGACCTGAGAAGATGAGCGGGGCACCCACGAGTGGCAGCACCAAAAGGATATTGAAACACTGAGTTGGATACCCCCAAGAAGAGCAGGGTCTAAACCAAAAACGGGACCTCTAGCCCACAGCACCAGAGCCCAAAATGTACACAGAAAACAGCCAGCTGCGAAAAGTGGCACGGTTGTTCTCTGCCAGAGACAGATGGCTGGAGACACAAAGAACTGTTTAAATGGCCAATGCATAAATTTTTATTTGCAGCCCCTTACCCTGGTCAAAGGTGGGGGAGAGTGGGCTAGTGACGCCTGAGGAGAGACTGGGGAAGGGGGCTTTGGGGAGAAAACTGGGAGAGTAGCTGGTGGGATCTCAGTGCTGACTCATCCCCCACGGAGCAGCGGACATCTTGCTCAGGTGAAGACCACTCCCTTCGAGTGGCACCAGCGTCGAAGAACCCAATAGCCGCACCCCAAGGTGGGATTCCACCCCACCCTGTGCTGTCTAAGTCACCTACTGAGTTCAGAGTGGCAGCCACAGACAGTAGATCTCTGGCTAAAGCGGGCACAGAGAGGTCTGGCGACACGTGAGGAGAGACTGGGGATGGAGACTTTGGGGAGAGAATGGAGAGAGTAGCTGGCGGGATCCCAGTGCTGACTCCTCCCCTGCATGGCAGCAGCCATCTTGCTCAGGATGAGACCACTCCCCTGGGAAGCAAAACGATAAGAGGACCCAATAACCCGGCCCCCCGAAGTTGACTGCCCTGCACTGTGGTGTCTCTAAGCTGGCCTGCTGAGTACAGAGTGGCTAGATTAACAGTTGAAGGAGACAGAGACAGAGAGTAGGTTCCTGGAAGTCTCAAACGGACTCCCTAAGGTCAGACAGGGACAACATCTGACATCGTCAGAGGCAGATCCAGAAAGTAAAAACAGTGTTCTCCTACCATAGAAGTTCACACATCGAAGTCAGGAAATCAAGACAGATCAACTTAAGAAGCAGAAGCAAAATAGAAGAGTCTCACAAATAATAGGAAGACAAATGAATACCCCCAATGCAAAGGGAAAGGAGGAATCCCCACAAAGAGAAATAAATGAAATAGAGGCAAGTAAACTATCAGATATTGAGTTCAAAACAACCATTCTAAGGAAGCTCAACTAGCTCAGTGAGCTCAGAGAGAATTACACAAATCCACAGGGAAATGAGGAACTTACTGCAAACTATATCAGCATGAAAGAGGACATAGAAACTATCAATGAGACAATAGGAAATGAAGAATACAATTTCTGAATTGAAGTACACAGTAGAAGGGATCAAAAGCAGGCTAGATGATGCCAAGGATCGAATCAGCAAGCTGGAGGACAAGGTAGAAGAAAGCTCCCAGAAAGAGCAAGAAAATGAAAAAAGACTCAGAAACAATGAAGAGACATTGAGGGAAATGCAGGACAACCTGAAACGTAATAATATCCGTATAACTGGGACACCAGAAGAAGAGGATGAGGAAGGGATAGAGAACCTGTTTGAAAAAGTCATGATGGAAAACATCCCTAATTGGAGGAGAGAAAAAGTCATACAAGTCCAGGAAGCACAGAGGGTCCCATTCAAGAAGAACCCGATGAGGCCCACTCCCAGACACATCATAATTAAAATGGCAAATACCAAAGACAAAGAGAAAATCCTAAAGGCAGCAAGGGAGAAACAGGCAGTAACATACAAAGGAGAATTGATGCATCCTGCAGCTGACTCTCAATGAAAACCCTCCAAGCCAGAAGAGAATGGCAGGAAATATTCCAAAAACTACATAGCAAAGGCCTGCAACCAAAGCTACTCTACCCAGAAAGGCTCTCAATTAAAATGGAAGGTGAAATAAGGAGCTTCCAAGACAAAAGAAGGCTAAAAGAATACATCTCCACCAAGCAAGCATTGCAAAATATGCTAAAGGGACTGCTTTAAGATAACAAAAAAGAGTCTATGAATACCCAGTTCCTTTCAGAGTTGCCAATACTTGATATTACCAATATTTTTAATACTATTAAAATGTTTGTGACAATGATGTGTTATTTTAATTTATTTTAATAAATTGTTCCTTTATTATTTGTTAAAACTAAGCTTGTTTTTGTATATTTCCTGCCTATTTGTATTATTTTTTAAAGAAGCTTTAAATGACTTTTTGGTATTCTTTATCCATTTATTGATTAACATTTGTAGAATTTTTTTCCTTAAAGGAAAAAAAAACCCAGCTATTAACCCCTTTTTAGATATGTGGCAAATACTTTCCCATTCTATTACTTGTCCTTTATTTTTTTATATATATATTACTATATAGTCTTAAATGTTTAGTATAGTCATATTGTCAATATTTTACTTTATAGCTTCTGGGTTTGAATATTTTACTTCAGGGCAAGAAAAACATTAGTTTGTATTTTCTCCTAAATCTCCTTAGATTCCACATACTGATTTTTAACTCCCCTGAATATTTCTTGTATTATGTGTGAAATAAAGCTCTATATTTGTTTTATTTCAAGTAATAATGGTCCATGCACCTTATGTGTTGAATAAGCCTTATTTTACCCATTGCTTTGAAATATCAATTTAATGATATATTACATTTTTAGATATATATATTTGTTTCTAGAATGCTCATTATATCTCATTGATCTACTTGATTATTTCTGTGCTGGTGTCATGTTGGTTTAATTGCTGAGACTTTATAATGGTTTTAAATTTTTTAAGAGTTTATAATTGACTTTGATATTTAAAAAAATAAAATCAATCTGCATTTAAGAAAGAAAGAGAGAGAGAGAGAGAGAGAGAGAGAGAGAGAGAGAGAGAGAGAACGCCTACCTTTTGCGACATCATGGATGGAACTGGAGAATATTATGTTAAGTGAAATAAGCCAGTCGGTAAAAGACAAATCCCTTATGATCTTACCTATAAGTGGACTCTATTCAACAAAATAAATAATAAACAAAATAATCCACAGGCATGGAAACGTGGAACAGACTGAAAGTGCCCAGAGGGGATGGGGAAAGAGGACAATGGTGGAAAGAAAGGGCAGGGACTAATCAAAGAAAGTGTATGAATGACCCATGGACATGGACAACAGAGTGGGAATTGACTGTGGGAGCTGGGATGGGGTAGGATGGGTGGAGGGGCATAAAGGGGGAAAAAACTGAGACAACTGTAGTAGAATAAACATGATCTAAAAATAAAAGAAAAAAATTTTAACAATAAAGTATAACAACTGAAATATATATATAAAAAAAAATGAGTTGGAGATCCAATAGTAGATTTGAGTAGGCAGAAGAAAGAATCAAGTAACCCAAAAATAGATCAATTGAGATTTTCCAGTCTGAGGAACAGAAAGAAAAAGAATGAATAAAAATGAGAAGAGCCTCTGATCTGTGGAACATTATCAAGCATGCAAATATATATGTAATGGGAGCTCTAGGAGGAGAGGAGAAAGAGACACAGGTAGGTAGAAACCTGTTTGAATAAAGCATGACCCAAAACTATAAAAAGTTGATTAAAAATATTAATCTGTACATACAGAAAGGCAATGAATTCCAGATAGGATAATCTCAAAGGATAAACTCATTCCACACTTAGGACATCATAATCCAACTGTTGAAAGCTAGAGAAAGAAGTTAATCTTCACAGGAGAGTTAGGTTGCCCTGCCCTGTGTGGCTCTGTTGGTTGGGCATTGTCCCAGAAACCAAAATGTTGCAGGTTCAATTTCCTGTCAGGACACATGCTTGAGTTGCAGTTTTGGTCCGCGATTCGGGTGAGTATGGAAAACAACCAATTAATGTCTCTCTCTCACATCAATGTGTGTGTGTGTATATGTATGTATACACATACTATTACATTTATGCTATTACATTTGCCTCATTTTTTTCTCCCCTTTATTCCCCTCCACCCTCCACTGCCGCCCCTTTAGTTAATGTCCATGGGTTTTACATATAGGTTCTTTGGATTCTCCATTTCCTATACTATTCTTAACCTCCCCCTGCCTATTTTGTACCTACTATTTATGCTGCTTATTCCCTGTACGTTTCCCCCGATTCTTCCCTCTCCCTTCTGTTTTACTGTTCATAGATTTTGATCTTCTTTTTCTTAGATAAGTTCCTTTAACATTTCATAGAATAAGGGCTTGGTGATGATGAACTCCTTTAACTTTACCTTGTCTGGGAAGCACTTTATCTGCCCTTCCATTCTAAATGATAGCTTTGCTGGATAGAGTAATCTTGGGTGTAGGTCCCTGTCTTTCATGACTTTGAACATTTCTTGCCAGCCCCTTCTTGCTTGCAAAGTTTCTTTTGAGAAATCAGCTGATAGTCTTATGGGAACTCCTTTTCTCTTGCTGCTTTTACGATTCTCTCCTTATCTTTAATCTTGGGTCACTTAATTATGATGTGTCTTGGTGTGCACTTCCTTGGGTCCAACTTCTTTGGGACTCTTTGAGCTTCCTGTATCTCTTACAAGTCTATTTCCTTCACCAGATTGGGAAAGTTTTCAACTCCTTGCTCTTCCTCTTCTGCTTATAGCACCCTTATAATTCGGATGTTGGAATATTTAATATTGTCCCAAAGGTTCCTAAGCCTCTCCTTATTTTTTTGAATTCTTGTTTCTTCATTCTGTTCTGGTTGAAAGTTTATCTGTTCCTTCTG